CGCATATATTGAGGTATTCATATATTGAGGTGTGCATATATTGAGGTGCGCATATATTGAGGTGCGCATATATTGAGGTATTCATATATTGAGGTATGCATATATTGAGGTACATGTATATTGAGGCATGCATATTTTGAGGTATGCATATATTGAGGTATGCATAGATTGAGGTATGCATATATTAAGGTATGCATATATTGGAGTATGCATATATTGAGGTATGCATATATTGAGGTATGCATATATTGAGGTATGCATATATTGAGGTGTGCATATATTGAGGTATGCATATATTGGGGTATGCATATATTGAGGTATGCATATATTGAGGTATGCATATGTTGAGGTATGCATGAATTGGGGTATGCATATATTGAGGTATGCATATTTTGAGGTACGCATATGTTGAGGTATGCATATATTTTCTGGCATTACATATGATACATAATATTACATAGTGGCATCTGTCATCAGTGAGTATGCTAGAGGTGAATGAAGAAAAGGGAGTGACTCTTTCATTGAAGCTTACCTTGGGCTAACTTGAAGGCCATCAGACAGAGAACTTCTAGTTGGTTTAGCAAACATGAGTATCTTCACCATCACTATTACATCACCAGTATCTTCACAAACACCTAAAAACTGACAATCATAATCCCGTAATGATTTATACCTGTGGTACAAGTCCTCATTGGATGCGATGAGTTCACTGATACACTGTTCCATATCTAGCAATGCCTGACAGACCAAAATTGAAGGTCCACTAGATGAATTTGGCCCTTTGTGTTCTGAGTATATGACACTTTCTAGTTCTTGCGTACCATGCATTACCAAGGCTGGTACTTCAACCGTTTCATCAGATGTGTCAAATGAATTATCCTGTACATCACATGGAGTAGTAAACTTACGATATGAATATGTCGTAAGGGAATCACAACTAAGTCGAGATTCTGTGGTGCTCAGTATAGTTCCAAAGGATGACATGGGTGATGTATTTGGTGACGGCATTAATGATGACCGTGGGGAAACACTAGGGACCAGTGGTGGTGTACGATTCCTATTTTTATCATGTTGTTCTATGATTAGTCCTGTTGTCAAACTCTCTAGTTCACAAATACTGTCCTTTTTTGTCTTACATGGCTCATCTCCGTTGCCATAATCAACATCTTCTTTGTTCCCTTCCCTCAAATTTATGCAGTCAGTGTCGTTATTGTCGTCGCTCACCATCTGTTTTTGTATGGTTGGGATTTCTTCAACCTCGCTTGGCCCATGTCCAGATAAATCTCCTGGCAGTTGATGTGAATTTTTAAATTCATGAATTGCATTCTCGACTTCAAAATCATTAACACATGGAACACACTTAAAGGCAATCAAAGAATCCCCAGAATTGAAGAACACGGTACCGGGAATTTGTAGACAAATAGAAGGTAAGAAGACTGGATAAGGAGGAAGTGAATCATACATAATATGAGCAGAATATGAATGTTCGTGGCATGGCTTGTTTGAATATGCTTTGCACTTATCACATGGTTTGTTTGGTGGAGCAGCACAAACAGTTACATAACATCTGCAAGTCTGTTCTTCTTTACTTGTTGGACTAAAAGGATACAAAAAATCTGAAGTTAATCTTTAGGATGCTTATCGTATATTAAGACGAAGATAACGTACCCTCTACCCCATACAATGACTTGTTTTTCATCTGGACTCTGTGACACAATGAGGTGGAGAGCATGGGAGATAGGCTGGTCATAAAACAAAGTAGCACTCTGGACCTAGAAAAAGCAGTAGACATCTTTAAGCCCTGTTTATACTGGCGATTTTTGCGGAGATTTTTGCGGAGATTTTTGTGGCAATTTTCCGAAATATATAACCTTTTGTCTCATCCTTCAAATGAGACATTCATCTAGGAAAATCTTGGTATCCTGAAAAAAACTTTACAAGTAATTTCTTTACCATTATTCATAATGGGCAAACTCGCAAAAAAATTGCAGCAAAAATCGCCACAAAAATCGCTAGTGTAAACAGGGCTTTAGAGAGTATGTGAGCCACTAATTTTCAAGCCAAATATAACCAGATATTACTTAACCATTAAAATAACCTAAAGAATTATGAAAATCAATGCAGGGGTCAAAATAATGGCTGGCTGGTCCCCAGCTGTGATGACCAGCCACATTAGTCTTAACTTAGTCATATCTTGTTTCCGGCTCATTTTCTTATTTTATTAATCATTTGCTTTATTGGATAACATCTGATCCCTATGTGGAGGGAGGGTGGGCAGGGGGTGTGGGAATGGGATGCAAATGGGATAATCAATATTATTTTGTTCCTCATAATAACCTTGAAAAGAGGTTTAGAATACTGGAATCTCCACCAGTGTAGGGTATATGTATAAACAGGTTGCGGCAACTCGAGCCTTGTATCTATTACCAAACTGTAAGATATAAGATGTGTGCCATCTTTCGTGAACCCTAAAATAACATGCCTGAAATAAGAGAGAAATATGCGGCATTAAAATGGTGAATCGCTAGACCCCTTAAATAGGATTTTCCTATTGAAGCCTAAGTGTGGTTCACTTGAGTATTATTATTATTTTCTTTTTTGTTATATAAACTTTTAAAAGACATAATGAACAAACTCAAACCAAACTAAAATATAGGTGATTTTTTCTGTCAACACTACACAAACACACAAGTGATGGGTTCCCTGTGGTAAAACCTGGAACAAGATAAAACTTCGCAAAAAAATAAATTGTCAACAAAATTTCTTTTAAAAGCTAAACATTTAAGCTCACCCATCTCGTATTTCTCCTTTTTTATCCAAAATGTCGCTAAGTTTGAAGCAGCATTTTTGGGAATATTTGGTGAACAAGCGAACAGGATTTGAGCGCGAAAACGGCTGCAAACTCCCACAAACCTGAAAAAACAAACACAAAATTGCTAAAGCAACACATTTCTAAACTCTATATGTGCAGGAATGGATAAAGAATAGTGAAATACCTGTCTTAGGGCAAGTTTTTGAACCTGGTTTTTTGCCGCCGTCTTCATATTTTGAAAACTTGCTTTCTACGCCTGCGGTATTTAGACCAGCTGTAACACGAATAAACACATGCGCACTACTCATCGATATCATCAATTATTTGTATTTATTTATTTTCGATCCAATAATATCGCCTTAAATCTAAAACAGGGCTTTTGAACTGCTAAATTTATCGTATAGGAGGTGTGAAGATGCCTGATCCGCGAGAAGAAGAGCTGAGAGATGAGATTGAAACCTGTATTACTGACTTGAAGCAAGGGTTGGTGAAAAAGCTTCATCTTTCATTGATAGGATATTTTCGTTCATTATATCACTAGATTAAGTTATTAATAATTGGTTATTTGTGGCTATTTTAGAACACTACATGGTTCTTATGATACTGCTATGCAGACAGCTCAGCTCCTGAGGAAGACTGTTTCTGTTACTCACTGGAAAACAGCTGGGTAAGAACCACAGTGGTAATGGGGATGGCAATGGTAATGGTGATAATATGATGGTGATGATGATGGTGATGATAGTGTTAGTGGTGGTGATGGTAATGGTTATAATGATGGCAATGATGCAATTTATGGTGATGATGATAGTGTTAGCAGTTGGTATAATCATGGTGACAATGATAGTGATGATAATGATGGTGATGATGCGATTGATGGTGGTGATGATAGTGTTAGTGGTGTGGATGGTAATGGTAATGGTTATAATGATGGGGATGATGTGATCCAGAACAATGATATTGATGATAGTGTTAGCAGTGGTGATGAAAATGGTGGTGATTATGAGATATCACACACGTGAGCGATATTCAAGATGATAATGATAGCGGTGGTGATGATAATGGTAATGGCTATAATGATGATGGTGATAATATGGATAATGGAAATAATATTCAATAATGATACTGTCATTAACTAGTGAACTGATGGAGATTGTCAGAAAAGAAGGCAAAAAGATGGCAAACGCACAGCCAACAGGTATTTTATATCATTCAATGACCTAGCATGAAATGGGAACCACAGAACTAATATTTTCTTTTCTTTTTAGAATCAGCAGTAGGAAATATGGTCAGAAGAGGTTAGCTTTTATTTTTCAAATTTGTTCGTAATTCGATTTGTTATTGTTATAGGCGATAATCGCCATCATCTCATAAATCCCTGTGTTACTCATTTTTCATTTGTGTTACTAATTTTTTATTATTTATAATTATTAGTAATTAATTATGAATTTTATTTGATTTTAACTTTATCTTTTTGTTAGTCTTAAAAATTATAAGAGAAGAGTACTCAGGGTAAGTGTCTGGAATCATTAATAATATTATTTAACAATTATTCGCCGAAGGTGAAGTGATTATCGGGGAATATTTACCGAGACGCGAGTCTTCGAGCGGCAAGGTAAATATTCCCCAATAATCACTGAGCCTGAGGCAAATAATTGTTTTAGTATAAATACACAGGTGATTCTTTCAAAAAAAGAAATAAAAGAAGATAAAAGGCATTTTTCCCCGGTAACAGCAACAAAGCGGCTGGCCGCCATTTTGGATTTTCGCTCGAGGTGATTATCGAGTGATAGTGTGAGTTTCTTGAACAATCAGCGTGCGCGATTTTCTATAATCACCTGCATATTTTTACTAACATATAATATTGTATAGTCTTTGATTGTTTCTGTTATTGCTGTAGTTCTATTAAAGGTAAAGCAGATGAAGCTGATACAGAAGAATCCCTTCATGTAAGTACAGGTTTTGCTGAACATGTAATGTACTCCGTTATAGTCATAGGGTTCTATCTTTGTGTAGAGGACACAGTCTACATAATTCTATAGCAACAAAAAAGACTCCAGTCCATAAAATAAAACAAAGCTAATAAAGAATAAAATCGGTTTCTATTGAATTATGTATATATATTGTGTCGTCTATTGTGTTCTCTACACAAAGATATACCCCGTCATAGTGGTAGTATAGTGGGGTCTCAGGTTTAATTCCTGGACTCAGTATCACATATGGACTGTTAGGCTTCTTCCTCGATCCAAGCGCTTTTCTCTGGGTTCTCCAGTATTGATCCCTCTGTAAACACAATTTGATCTGTTGGCCATGTGCTTACTCGACTTACTCCAATCAGCCCAGAGCTTATTCCAGGGTTGGATAAGATATGAAGATACAATAAATAAGGTTAAGGTAAACTTTATTTAGGTAGGGTGGCCAATTCAGCAACTAGGCTGGTATCCAGAGGGGCCCTGCTAAAAGTTATTAATATGTATTTACAATTATAAATCTCAACATGACAGCTTGTCTGTCCATCTGCTTGGCTGTCTTTTACATTGTCTGTGTCTCTGTTTGTTTTCCTTTCCCTTCTTGTCTTTTGTAAATATATTTTTTCTACTTTGCTCAATATAGAAACTTCTAATGGCAGAGGGAACCCCAACGAGTGATTTCAGCAAACCAACTCAGGGTCTAAAGGTTTGTTATTAATATAATAATACTACATCATATTATAAGTCAGTCAGTAAATTCCAAAATAATATAACAAAAACAGCTGTTAGAAAGCCTGTGTTGGGTTGCCTGTGGGTTTTTTTGAACAACAGGGAACCCAAGAGTGGGAATCACACCATTCTCTGACAAATGGTATTTGCTTCAGACAACTGTGATAGATGCAATCAATGAACTAATAACTGAGCTAGAATCAAGTGCAGATAACATTGCTATGCAAGCCTTAGAACATATACATTCCAATGAAGTTATTATGACGACAGGGAAATCTAGGACTGTGGAAAAATTCTTAAAGGTACAGTACAGTAGTACAAAGAATGGAACTCATTCAATCTCATCCCATTCCTCCTGAACCCATTCAATCTATCTTCTCATCCCATTTAATTCTAGCTTTATCCTATCCCATTCCTCCACATCCCATTTAATCTCCATATTTGGTTCATTTTTATCCCATACATTTGATTTTTCATCCTATTCCCATTTCACCAATCCCACTTCTTGTTTGTCAACCCATTCAATCCATCCCATCCTCTTTCATTTTCTTTCATCCCACTTGACCCAAGCCCATCCAATACATTTTTATCCTATTCTATCATTCAATCATATCCCATTTCTCCCAATCTCACTCAATGTATTTCCATCCTATTCCTTTCCATTCCAACTAATCCCACTCCTTGTCACATCATCCAATCTATTCCCATGCTGTTCYATTCTATCCTCCCCAACCATGAGGTTCTGCACAGTGTGAAATAATCAAACATATTTATCTAATATGTAAACACTAACAGAATGCGGCAAGAAAAAGAAAGTTTACCGTGATAGTAGTTGAGGGAGCTCCATTTTACCAGGTTTGTGCATAAATTAATAAGCAAAAATTAATCAAAATAAGATTTCCATGGCAGCCCTGTTCAAAGGCAGGAACAATGCAATCATTTTTCACAGGGAAAAAGATTTATTTCCCAAAGGAGAATCCTACAGCTTGGCTGCTGTAAAAACACTCAATTCTGATGGTTGTATTTTTCATATCATTAGGGCCAGGAGTTGGCAAAGAGTTTAGCTCAAGCAGGTATCGACACAACAGTCATCACAGATTCTGCTGTATTTGCAATAATGTCTAGAGTAAATAAGGTGTGTGCCATTCATGAAAAGTTCCAATAAGAATACATTTTTCCAGCCCCCAGTTTTTCCTCCCTCCTCTCAAATCAACCCTAACTATTATTATTTAAACTGCTTAGAGCTGTGCTCCGGGGTCATACATGGACTGTATAGCGGCTGCCAGAGATGCCTTTACATGCTTTCAGTTCGACTCCATTTGAGCTGTGTCACTGATGAACTGGCAGTGAGGATTAGCAACAACAGGTTTTTTTCTCACCATGCTAATTTTCCTTTCAGGTTATCATAGGAACACACGCAGTCATGGCTGACGGAGGGTTAGTATCTTTTTACATCATACTGGTAAATACGTAGTCAATCACTTTTGTCAAGCACAGAAATGTTCGTTATCAAGAGTATTGCAAATCTTAAAGTGCTACTACGACGAAAATCGCTCAAACTTGGATTCAGCTGAAACTTCC